ACTCCAAGAGAGATAATCTGATGAAATAAAGCATCTCTGAGAGTATTTGTGGCTCACCATGTGACACTCGCATTTTCTAGGAATAAACAGGAATGAGCAAAGAGGGATTAATTTCATAGAGTGCTGCTATTTTGCCACGAGAACAACCCAGCACCCGTTCTATGGCTTATTAATTTTTCTGCTTCTTTAGGGAGAGGGGGGGAGAGTTTATCTGTTGAAAGAGAGGCTGATGTCTCACCAGAAATGGAAGAAAACAATTACATTTTTGGCTTGAAGCTACCAAGTGTTATAAAAAAAAACCCAAAAAACTAAGCAATATCATTTTAGAGTATTCCCAGAATTAGTTTTCCTTTCACCTAGTTTACTTTAAAATTTTAATATTGTTATTATTAACACCTACCCTATTGCCCTTCAAATAAAGTATCTCCCATTGACCTGTTTTCTTTCTGGTCCTAGTTGAGTCCCTGTTCTCAAAGGTTCAGAAGGATGGAGTTTCTCACCCCACACTGATTTTCTCTCAGTGGGGCTGCATCTTCAGAGGTGAAAAAATATCCTTTTTCTAGAAAGTTCTATTTCCTGAGGTAAAATCTCTGTGTCACCTCCAACAAGGCCTCTTTCTTTCATTCAGTTAAATACACTTAGAGAACCTACTAAGTGACCCAGAACCTGCTTGCGCTGGAGAAAAAATATGAACAAAAATATTTTTGTCCTTATTTCATCCCACTCTAGTCAGACAGGCAGAAGGGTCAACAGATAAATTTCGACAGAAGTGGTAGTCGGAGCTATATAAAAATGTGGTATATAGGGGAAGCCAGTTAGTTAATCACACTGGGTCACCCACTCCAGGTGTTAAATACCAAAATAATTTCATTATCTGTTGCTAGATGACTGAATGCCCCTGGCCCCTGTGCCCTGGCTGGTCCCCTGGAATATCTGGACTGTTCTGTGATTCAGCAGCTAATGGATTCATACCCAACAGAGCAGAAGGCCCTCAAGACTCTGCTCTTGTGCTAAGGAAGCCATGCAGTTACCAAATATTTTAAATAACATCCCTAGAACAAAGAAAGAGCTTAGGGAGACCAGAGAAGACAGCAGGCGAGCTTAGAGCTCTGAAATCCACGTGCTTCATGCTTGGGGTCTTGTAGCACAGTTTTCCTTAACCAATGAGTGTGGGAAGGAACTCTTCATCCATACTGTCGGCATCTGGAGAGATGGAGTTTAAGGGATCCCAGCTTGGCCTCTTCCTCTTCTGACACTTTCTCACTCTATTTCTTTGGGCTTTGACAGGATCTACCAACAGTAGCCTCGGGCCAACTTCCCTCTTTGGGAGAAAGTATGAGAGCCGGTCCAGTTGTCTTGAGACCATGAGGACTAAAAGAATAGCAGTAACCTTAAAGAGCAGAGCAAGGACAGCAGCACAACATGACTTACTGTAGATAGTTACATTAACCAGTCCTTTGAGAGTGCTGTTGGCAAGGGTATTTCCCTGGTTTTAAAGCTCACATTACCATCTTAATTTGTAGTACTTATGGACTCCCACCAAAACAAGTGACTAGAGAACAATATCTTACTGATTTCTCATAGAAATCATATACCCCACCAGTGCCCAATGGAGGGGGGCAAGGTGTTGGGTGAGAATTTTGAATTCAAGAAGTTGAATTCAGTCTTCTGTGGATTAACAAATTATATAATAATAATAGCATTAATAATGGCTGATCCTTCTTGAGTTCTTTTGACATGTTGTGATTGTTGTCTACATCATCTCATATAAATCTCATAACCACACTCTACATAGATACTGTTATCTTCTTTTTATAACTGAAGAAACTTTAGTTCGAAAAACTAAAATACCTTGCCCAAAGTCAAAGAGTTAAAAATGGTGATGCTTGGACTTAAACTTGGAATTCTGTTAAGGAAATTAGGTAGTGTTCTCTAGCCTATAGTGGAGACTATAGAATGCTAAAATAGGGTAGAAATGAAATATTATTACCTAAGAGATGCCTATGCTATTATTTGCACCAAAAGTGGTGCTATCATAACTAAGACAAGAGTTCTTGAAAAACTTACTGATTTGGATGGTATGGGAGATAATTAGGGCTTCCTGATACTCTGCAAAGTATGAACTTCCTCAATGGATGTTAGACATATGCTTATAATCAGCTGCATATTCATTAACATTTATTATCTGGCTCTTTCTCAGAATCATTTGGTTGGATACAAAAGGAACACATACCCAGTCTGGCCTGGTATCCTGAGGACTGATGCTAATTATTACAAAGCACATGAGTTTTACCTGCTGAGTTTCCTTTAAGATCAAGATTTCATTTTATCTTATTTTATGCTTTCAGATTCCTTAAATAAACAAATGAAATATTAAATAATGAAGACACATATTTAAATTTAAATGATCATATAACTCTTTAAACTCACCAAGTTACCTTTCATTCCCTTCCTTTTTAATTTATTGGCCCCCCTTGAGCAAATGGCAGTGGTAATGTGTCATGTTAAGGTATTCATTAGCTTTCTGATCTTGGTGATTTTAATAGTGTTGAAAAGAATCTACACAGGAATTTATTAGCCTGCTCTTGAGCATGTGTTTGATCTCTCTTCTGACTTCAAGAAAAGTGAAGAAGAAATACACATTAAATATAGTTCTTTGAATGTCAAATGGGTATATGATTTTTGAGCTTGCCAAGTGTTAATTGGTCTCTTCCCCAGTGATGATACAAATAGAATTCACAGCCAATTAGTCTGCAGTCATGAATCTTTACTCCATGACAAAGTGAACTACTTTGTTGAGAAGACTGGGGAAAAAAAAAAAAAGGAAGAAATTATTAGGATCTCCTCCAGGAAAGTCTCTGCAAGGATCAGTTACCTTTAAGAAATCTGGAGTAAAAACAAGGCTATGGTTACTCATATTGCTCACAGGTTTTGGTCTTTAAGGTGGTTTAATGGAGGTGGTTGGCATTAAAATTTTAGAAATACCATTAAGGAGACATATGCACTATTGTAATCGTCAAGATGAAATATTGAATAGAGAAGAGTTTTCTCCTTTCTAGTCACACTAAATAACACCGTGTCTCAGTGCTGGCAGATAAGGTTTGGTGTTGTTGAATAAAATAGCTACAATCATGAACAGTCTCTCATACAATTGGCATGAGATGCCAATTACAGTGCAAAAATAGCTCTCTTCTTTTCAAAGTAAGAAAAGGAGATTTCATTAAAATTTCCTTTGAGTCTTTGCATTGACTCATAGAGATGAATGGCTGGAAGAGAAAAATGGACTTGTTTCATAAAGACCCTGCCTAAGTTTTCAATTTATTAATTACCATTATTAATTTGGAAAGAGAAATCAGATATTAGAGTTCGTTGTCAGGGGAGCAGCTAACTGAACTGACTCCAACTTTTGCTTCAATCTCCAAAAAAAAGAAAAGAAAAACAATGAGAAGTCAAACAATAAGTGCATTATTAGTTATGAATCACTTTTTGGACAATGTTGAAAGTGTCAATAATATTTTTCAGTTTCACAGATAAAAAAAATCAAACACTGAAATTTGACCTAAGAATCAGCTGACCCCTATTCACAGGATCCATATACAGGTCTGAGTTGCAACAACTGAAATATGTCTCTCTCTTTCCACATACGCAATGAAGAGTAAAACTTTCAAATGACTCGATGTAGTCTGGAGGCTAAGGTGCCACTTGTCACTTGCGATGCTGACTTGCCTTTCCCTCCATTATTATCTTTTTGTTTTAGAGGATTTTTTTATTATGCATGATTTTAAGTATATAACAAAATAGAGGAAACCGTGTTAACAACTCTTGTGTGTCCATCACCCCTCCTTTCAACTATTATCAAAAACATGGCTCATCTTGTTTTATCTATATCCCTACTCCCCTCTTGTCATATTATTTTGAAGCCGATCCAAGACATCATATCATTTCACCCATAAATATTTCAGTTTGTACCTTGATGGGAACTCTTTGTAAGCATAAATGCAATAACATTATCACATAAGAAAATAAAAAAAAATAACAAATTTATAATATAACAAATTTATAACCTAACAGAGGTTTTTTTATTTATAACCTAACCTTACAGAGTGCCTGGGCTTGCAGGACAGTGGCTAGGGCCATACTGTTGTACGCACATAAGGATGTCTTCTAATAATCGTGCAAAGGGTGACATTTTTTAGAGTTTGGGATTATTTGTTAACAAATGAAAGGCACAGCATTAGTTTTCCTTGAAAGTATGCTCTCAGATGACGTAGGTGTCCCCAAGAGGCACACCGTCTCTGGGGGGTCATGGAGACCTGTCCCCAGATACAGGCATTGTCAAAGGGTGCTGTACTGTTTGGTGCTAATGAAAAGTCATGGTGTCACTCTGATTTGTAATACTTCACGAGCCATGAATAGGCTTTGTTTTAGTCACAACAACAACAACAACAAAATGAAAATGAAGAACTTGATGGAAAGCTCATCAATGAGACTAGTTGACACCCTTTATTCCCCAAATGTTTTTTATTCATGGTGTGTGGATACACATGGCTTTTAGGTATGTCCACAATTACATCATGGAAGGGGAAACACACATGTGGAATACACAGGCTCACAGACACGTGCACACATATGCACTCTTCTTACATTCCCATTTTTTGGCGTATGATCAAGAATTAGAAAGTTGATGTCACATTAGTTAAGTCATACCGCCTCTAGGATAAGTGCCAATATAAAATAAAGCAGTGTTTTTGATTTCTTGAAAGAGAATGACAAAACTAAACCAAGCCACCTGTGGCTTTGTCTGGTGGGGCATTCTAATTGACTCCCAAGTCATTAATCAGTTCCCGATCAATCTAGTTGGCCAGCAGCAGGCAGTTAGCCCCCATTACCGACCATTGGTCATGCCAAAACCCCGATTCACTGCACCATCAGCCACGGCGTTGGCCCCTGTTAGAATCCCAAGTGCCAAACGCGACATGCAAAGAGGTTTTGTTACTCACCTCGGCCACCGGGACCCCTTCGGGGGGCCGACATTGGAGCAACACTTCCTGTTCCAAGGAAACTTCCTTTCCTAGGGGTTCCTGTTCAAATGTCTTCCGTAGGTCTGGAAAGCACAGGGGATAAAATACATGTCAAATCGAAATAACATTTATTCAAGTATATATATGGCAAAAATAATTTTTCTGGCTTAGTGTTTTATGTGTCACTGCACTTTTTTTTAACCACACACTGTTAATCCTACACCATAGTCTGGCTGACTGTTCTCTGTGTGGTAGAAATTACGAAATTCAGAGGCTATGTACTGTTACTGCTTTAAACTTAGCAATTAGTGAAGTCCGTTAATTGCATTTCTTTAGCATTTCTTCATAATCAACTATGATGATCACATATTTAATCAAAAAACCCCCATTCTCATGATTATTTATACACAGAGTCCCTTATGTACATATATTCCTCTTTTCTCACTATCAGTACTATTAAATCTGTAATAACTCTAGAATCCTCTTAAAATTTATTTTTTAATTGGCAAATAATAATTGTACATATTCATGGAGTACATACTGATGTTCTTTATATATTAATATATATAAAATATATGGTGATAAGATCAAGATAATCAGTATATCCATCATCTCAAACATTTATCATTTCTTTGTGTTGAGAACATTAAATATTCTCCTTCTAGCTATTTTAATCTATACAATGTATGATTGTTACATATAGTTATCCTACAGCAGTATAGAACAAGATAATTTCTCTTGTGTAGTTGTAATTTTTTATCCTTTAACAAATAGATCCCCATCTCTTCCTTCCCTCTACCCTTCTAGTATCCTCTGTTCTGCTTTATACTTCTATGAGAGCAATGATTTTTTAGTTTCCACAGATGAGTAAGAACAATGTGGTATTTAACTTCCTGTTCCTCGCTTATTTCACTTGACATAATGTCTTCCAGATCCATCCATGTTGCCACAAATGACAGGATTTAATTCCTTTCTTAAGGTTGAATAGTATTCCACGGAGTATATATACCACATTTTCTTTATCCATTCATTGGCTGTTGTACACCTAAGGTTGAGTCCATATCTTGGCTGTTATGAATCGTGCTACCATAAACATTTGGATGGATGCCCACTAGGGGGATTACTGGATCATGTGGTATTTCTATTTGTAGAATTTTGAGGGACCTCCATACCGTTCTCCATAGTGGTTGTACTAGTTTGCATTCCCACCAACAGTGTACAGGAGCTCTCTTTTCTCTGCATCCTTCCCAGCATTTATTTTTGTCTTTTCGATAATAGCCATCTGAACCAGTGTGAGATGATAGGCAATTGTGGTTTTCAGTTGCGTTTCTTTGATTAGTGATGTTGAGCATTTTTTCATACATCTGTTGGTTATTTGTATGTCTTCTTTTGAGAAATGTCTGGTCAGATAATTTGCTCATTTTTTTAAATCCAATTGTTTGGTTTGGCCAGGTACCTCCCCCACTGCTACCCTGGACTTCTGATCACCCCAGTCGCACTGCGCTTCCTCATTGCACTCTAGAGCTCTCTCTCTTTGACCTCCAGTCAAATCTTAGCTGTTTATTCTTTGTCTTGGTCCTGTGTGGGGAGCAAATGCCAGGCCTCTCTACAGCCATTTTGCTCCTAAGCTTAGAGGTTCTTTTTTTCTGTTTTATTTTTTTGAGACAAAAGTCTTGCTCAGACTTTTGCTCTTGCTCACCCAGAATGCAGCAAAAGCTATCGTCATAGCTCACTGAAACCTCAAACTCCAGGGCTCAAACCATCCTCCTGCCTCAGCCTCCCAAGTAGCTGGGACTACAAGTATGTACCACCACGATCAGCTAATTTTTATATTTTTTGTAGAGACAGGGTCTTACTATGTTGCTCAGGCTGGTCTTAAACTTCTGGATTCATGTGATCCTCCCACCTCCGCCTCCCAAAGTGCTAGGATTACAGGTGTGAGCCACTGTGCCCAACCAGCTTAGAGGTTCTTTAAGCCTGGGTCACTGTCTCCTTCTTGGATCTAGGTTGTGCCTTGAGCCTAGCTTTGCCTCAGCTCTAGAAAATTACCACAGCATTGCCCTTCCAGAAACGGGGAGGTCTGAAAGAGGATATCCCAGGAATGTGGGAAGGCTGTCACGGGGTTCACACCCAGGGAACCTGTGAGAGGAACCTCCTACAGTGTGGTACTGCTAGACATCCACTCTGGTTTGGCGTCTTTTTTGGCCAAGTTACACAACAGAGTTTCCAGAGCCTTCCTCCTTTTCTTCTGGCCTGTCCTCAGGGACATTTCTCCCTTGAGACACTGGAAATGCTTCCCATGGATTAAGGTGGGGATGAGTCTCCTATTTGGGAACCCAAGATGGTGGGGAAGCTGGTTGTCAACCTAAATCACTCTATTCCCCATGTAGAAATAGTGAGTTGGGGAAGTTTTCCACACACTTGGTGCTGGGCAAAATGGCGGAGACAGGCATCGTGCATATGGAAGTCTGGTTTGCTTATCAACTACTCAAGTTTTTTCACTTCTCTGTGGTCCTTAGAATGGTCTCATTTTCATATTTGAGTTCTGAGATACCTCTGGTAATAATCTCAGTGTTGCATATTTGTTTTTGGTTTTCTGTGGGGGCAGGGAGTGAAGCCATCTTGCTTCTCCACCGCCATTTTGGAACCAGAGCCCTGGAATCTTTTGATCAATACTTAAAAGCCACATTCTGTTTCAGAGTGGAAAACAGAATGGAAAACAGAATTTCTTAAAGCAGGAATATAAATTCTTGAGATGTCTCCAATATAAGGAATGGGAAAGAGTAACTATTGAGAAGATTCCTGAAATATCTCTGTATCTAAGCATCTGACCAATCTTCAACTAGAAGATTAGTCATTTCTACTCAAATATGCCAAGGACCAAATTACATATTTATATAGTTATGGTTGTTACAGAAATATGCAGCTGAGTTTTAAAAACCATTATAGGTGGACATCACAGTATTAGAAACCAGTGTGTCATTTTAAACACATCAGAAGCACATACTTCGAGAGATGGGTTTTCACTAAACCATCATTGAACACCACATACTTATTTTGTTTGAATGGTTTGGCTTTAAACTTCATATAAATTTTATGTGATTTCTGAAGTTAAAAAATTAATTCAGTCATAGAGCTTTGAAGCAGCAATTTTAAAAAGCCCACAAAAATTTTATTTCATGCATGTACAGTTCAGTTCCTTCCAATAAAAAGTTATTAGAATTTTATCCAGTGAATTTTAGTAAAAAATCAATGCCTCTGCCTTACCATCCCACATCCCTGATAAAGACGTCTAAGAAAATCTGAAAGCACCATTTCAGCTTATTGAACTAATGGGTGGAAGCACTAGAAGTTTATCCCTAATAGAGCCCAACCAGGAAGCACCACCTGGAAAAATGCACTGAGAAAAAAAAATCTATCCTGACGCACTCACCATTTTGTTGAATTTCTTGACAGAAGAAAACCTTCAATAGATTATAGGGGTTGTGAGAAATTTATGGATCTATGAAGGTCTGGTGGAAGACAAGAGACTCTCCCAATGTGACAATTTATGTCAGAAGGACACTTTTAATTTGTTATCAATAAAATGAGTACTTTATAGAAATGAACATTTAGGATCCACAGTCATCCTATATTGAAAGTTATCTAAACCATTTCCTTATTTTACGTATGAACAAATTTGCCAAATTATCCAAAAACTCACAGCAAAATATTAATAACTGATGCTGTGATAAGACCCACTGACCCTGGATTTTCCACATTTTTCCATCCCCACACGTCCCTCTGACATCACTTTTGGTTCATCTTCTCTCTTCCAGCAGAAACATTAAAAACTTTCTCTTCTGATATGACAGTTTCTCTTGGTTTTATATCTGCATTGATATAAGATTTTGGCAAAACACCCAATACCAATAAAGAGAAGAGCAATGAATAACCTTTATGGGATAAAAACGTTCCTGACAAGGTGTATCTTGTTTGTGAACAATGATTCTGAAGAACTCCCATCTGGTATTGGGTAGAGCAAAGATGTAGTGACTTCAATGAGTTCTCAATTTAAATGACACATTGACACACTCACTTATATTAATCAGGATGTCACAAAATGAAGGCTAAGAACAAGAAAAAGTGAGGCATAGTGTATGGTTTGAAACAAAGCAATTTCATTTAATATTTATTAATTACCTTCTTATGGTAGACCATTGTATTAGGTACTTAGGATGAAGATGTGTAAGATACAGAACCAAGACTAGAAAGTAAGCTGAGGTTTGCTTGTGAAAAGCCCTTCTGTCTTGCTAAGAAGTGGCAAACTCTAAAGCCCTCTGAGCAAAGGAAAGGGATCAGATGTCATATTGCCCTCAGAAAGGCAGATGGATTGTGGTGAAAAATCAGACATCAGTGAGGGACCCATTTGAATAGACCAGGAGGGATGACAAGATCCTGAACTCAGCTAGTGATAGTGGACAGGGAGAGGAGGAGGCAATTCTAGAAATAAACAGACTATACCTTCCGGAACACTTAGATATTTGGAGAGTTCCAGGAGGCAAAGATGATGCTATTATATTCTTAGCTACCACACGGTTGAGATGGCATCAAAGCTCGATGAAATGGTAACAAGTTGGACAGGGAAGTGGGGAGAAAGGAAGCATTTCTTTTTGTACATGTTCAGTTTAGTGAAATCCGTAGGACATTCTTATGGAACATTCTAGATCATGGTGTCTAAACCTCAACACTATTCATTTTGGGGACTGAATAATTCTTTGTGGTAGGGTTGTCCTTTGCATGGTAGGAGAACCTCCTCCCAGCCATGACAAAGTAAATGACTCTAGACAATGTCACGTGCCCCTGAGCGGAATAAATCACCCCAAGTTGAGAACCACTTGTCTAGAGCTCGGAAAAGACATCCTTGTGGGACTTCCTGCGTTTCATTGTCTAGGCAAGGGTGAAAGCACTGGAAAGAGATGACATCACCAGGGAGAGATGGCCACGTAAAGAAAAGAGAGCAGCAACATGTAAGAGGAAAAGCTTCCAGCCAAAATGACATGGACTGAACAAAGAGGTAGGAGAAAACCCAATGAGAGAAGTA